TGCTGTGCCCTTTACAGAGAGCACACACCAACGCCCAGGGGCAGCTGAGGGGTGAGGCTGCTGCGGAAGCCCTGTGGGAGGGGCCCAGGCCTCAGGCCCAGCGACCTGGTGTAGGTGTATGGAGTGCACGTCCCGTGTTCACCACGAGCCAGAGCACCTGTGATCAGTGCTGTCCATGCGATGAGTCCTCGAAGCACAAGGAGCCCTGAGAAGCAGGCACTGACCGCATCCCCTTGTACAGATGAGGACACTCATGGGTGCGGCTGCCGAGCGGAGGAGCTGTGATCTGGACTCATGTAATCTGGCCCCTGGGCCACATGCCACCGCCATGCCACACTGCCCTTTGCTGCCACGGCGGCCCTTGCCCCGCACCTTCCCTGCGGCTAAAGGTTCTTCCCAGACCCTTTGTCCATTCTCTCTTTCTCTCCTCTCTTGCTCTGTCTCACCACTTCCCATCTGTCTCCCTCTCTCCCCCTCCTCACCCCTTTTCTCCCATTTCCTCATCCTCCTTCCCTCCCTTCCCTCTCTCCACTTGCTCTCCTCTCTCTCTTTATCTCAGGTAAGGGTGCTTCTCCGACTCTGATCTGGCAGGTGGGGAGGAAGGCAGGAGAAGGGGAGACTGGGTCATTCTGAGGAGCCCTCCGACCCCAGTGTGGGGAGCCCCTATGTTATCCAGGAGCTGCAGGGAAACCCATCAGAATAAGGGATTTGGCCCAGGAACTGCCTCAGTCCCTTAACACCTTCAGACTCTGGAAGACAAAACTGTGCCTGCCAGAATGTGGGCAGCCCGCAGGGCTCCCGCTTTGCTCACAGAGCAGACCCAGGAGGCAGGGTCCATAAATCAGCTCCCCGAGGGGCCCGCACCAGGTCTTCCCTGGAATCTGGTTGTGCCCCTGGAGAAGGCAGGCGATCAGGGGGTGCAGGCCCCACCCCAAAGGGCTCCTGAGCCCCTGGGGGCTCACAGTTTCCCTGAAAAAGGCCACACACAGTGCCAGTGGGGACTGGGGTCTGGGGACTGGGCTGTTTATCTTGGGCTCAGAGAATCAGGGCCGAGGCAGCCCCCATGGCAGTTTCATAGCAAAGGACCTCTTGCCTCTGCCCGCACCCCAGTTGGGTGCTCTGAGCAGCAATGGTGTTCCCCTTACCAGGTACAGCCTGAGCCCCTAGGAAGGATGACAAGGTCTGACCCAGGTCCAAGGAGCCCAGCAAGGATGTTCCCTGCTCCACAAAGAGGGTGCAGGTGGTGAGAGGGAGAAACCACAGGGTGGAAAAAGCTTGATGTGAAGCTTACAATACACGCACTGGAGCTTAGAGGGGGTGGTGAGTGCTGGAGACCACTGGAGCCCGTGGGGGGTCAACATGGCGGCAGGGGCAGAGTGGTGACACATGGGGCAAACTCATGGTGGGAGGCTGTTACGGGGTGACAAAGATGGTACTAATTGGAGGGAGCTCACGAACAGTCTAACCTGAAGGTACCAAGGGTCCGAGAGATCTGGGGCACCCTCAAGCTCACGCCTGGGGTGGCGCAGGGGGCCCCCAGCCTCGCTGGGCTAAGGCAGGTGAAAGCCTGCCCCAGGCCCAGGCGCAGAGGTGAGGTTTGCTCATGAGGTTCTGATGAACTCCTTTCTGGGGTTTAGCTGCACATGTGAGTGTGTGTGTGTTTGGTTTATCTGGTTATTTTCTCATGACAAATAAAGCTTGACCTAGTGTGGTGTTTTTTTGTTTTGTTTCGTTTTGTTTTTTTCTGGACTAACTCATCTTCATATCAGCCTATCTTTATTCATTCAATTTTAGGCAATTACCGTTTTGGAGGTAATCTAAATGTCAACTTATAGACCACCAGCAATCTCTCAGGAATTTTCACCAAAGGTGATGCCCAGTCACAGCCGCAGAGCATCCTTCCTGAACCTCCCCTCACCTGCTGGCAGCATTCCCAGGTGGGAGGTGCTGGGCGTCACCCGGCACCAGATTCAGTGAGTCGGGCCACAATTACCTCCGATAGCTTTAAGAGAGGGGGCAATTGTCTCCATGCAGAGAAGAGGTTTCCCAGGCTAGAATGTCACGTGGATTCTGCCATGGCCTCTGAATGGCTCCAGTGTAGGGCATGGATTCTAGGACCAGACCCAGGAGAAGAGAGGACCCAGCTGAGAGTCCACGATGGGCCCTGCGGCAACGTCAAGATCAGAATCAAACTTCTTCCAAACACAGACTACGGGGTCCAGCTTCAGTCCCAGGAGTGGGGGCATAAGCCGGGGTCATATTCCATGGGTCTCAGGCCCCTTGTTAGGGTGTCTCTGACACCAGGCCGCCACGGAGGGCAGGAGGGGAGAGAGAGGCCCATGGCTGGTTGGGGAAAACGTCCATCTACATCCCACCTCTCTCACGCCTGGGCTGAGGGTTGAGCTGTTGCAGACGCTAATGGTTCATGTTCAGTGCTCCTTTGCTCCCCTGTACCCCAACCCTCTGTGATGGGCTGCAGCCCCAGGCAGGACCATTCATGCCCTATACTTAACCAAGTTTCTCCTATGCAGTGTCTTAGGGGGCTGGGGGGGGTGTCAGGCTTTCCCTGGGTTCCCTCTGGGGGTTGCAAATCCTCTCCAGGTGCACATTCCCTGGCCTCTAGTAACCATTCCAACCCTACCTCCATTGTCCTGCTACAGAGAGAGCTTGGCCTCCTCTCTGCTGCCTCCCCTGCCCCCTACTGGTTCCATACCTGCACAGGCAGGCCTGTGTGGGGGCAGCTCTGGGCTGTGGTGACTTCTGGATGAAGGCTCTCCTACTTAGGGCCTCAGGATGGTGAGCACAGAGCTTCACAGTGTAGACCTCAGCCTCCTCCTGGCTGCCCTGGGAAACAGACCGTCCGTTTCCTGGATGAGGACCGTGAAACGGCAATACGTGGGCCCCTGGTGCTGGACCGGGTGTGCTCCTGGCCAGGCTGAGCTGGGAAGCCCCGTGGTGAGGTCTGGGGTGGAGAGTGGGACTGGGGTCCTTTTCAAAGGCCAGCTCTGCTCTTGGGGGCTTTCAAAGCCTGGCTGCCTGACTTTAAGTCTATCTCATTGTGAGTGAATTAATTGTTGTGCAACCTAGAGTGGTGAGACAAGTTAATTACATAATTACTACAAAATGACATGTTATTTCATGGCTGCAATATGGTAACTCTGTTGGAAACAATTGTAATTGCCCAGAAACTGCATTCGAGTGGCTCCGTTATCTCTCGATAACCATGTAATTAACTTGTGTTACAACTTTATCTGCAGCAAACTCTGAAGTTAGTAATTGGGAACCTTGGGGTGGGCACGGCCACCTGAGACCTAAGGGCCCAGGCAGGGTCTGGCATTGGGGGCTCTGCTACGACCCAGGAAGAGAACTTGCCTTTTCATGTTGAGCAAGAAAAATCCCGTATTCAGGGCTCCAGCCCCCAAACTCATCCACCATCTCGTCAGGTCGCTGCCCAGTTTCACCAGCCTCGGGGCACGATAGCCACGGCAGCCAGGCTGCCTGGCTCCCTGGCTCTCTTCTCTCTCACACACATGGATGCAGTTCCTTCACAGGAGGGGGAGCCCCAAGATCTTTGGCCCTAGCAATCTCTTCCCGTGGAGTAGGCCACAGGCCACAAAACTACAACTTAGAGACCTAGCCCATCAGAGCCCGTAGAGCAGCCTGAAGTCAGGGTGACAGGAGGCCCAGGCCCGCCCCCCCCCGCCCAGCAGCCGGTTCCCGGCCCAGGGTCAGGCAGTTGAAGCAGTGGGCCGGCTTCCTCAGCCCTGGGCTCTGTTCTGTGGCCAGGATAAAAAGTCCCTGGGGAAGGACAGACAGCAAGTGGCCTGATGGTGGAGGAGCCTGTCCATACAGCCTTCCCTGTCAGGTTGGACCCCAGGAGCCCCCCCCCCCCTGCCTTAAATACTGCTCTAGGATGCTTTTTCAGTTGTATGCTCTGTGCTGGGTGCTGTGGCTGCAGCCAAGACAAGACAGCATGCCTGTTGCCCTGGGTGAGCCTGGCTCAGCAGGTGGATAGAAAACACCCCGGGTGTCTGCCTGCCAGGCTATTGTCTGGCTTGAGTTCAGTGCCTGTCCACTTGCCAGTCTGTCCCGGCCTATCTCTGCCTACACACCCACCTCTTGTGTGTCCCTCTCTCCTGCCAGCACATGTGTCGGACTGGGTGTCCGCTGGCTGATCTGTCCCTGACTCTGGAGTTGTCACCAGTGGTCCTGTGTGCACTGGAGGGAACTGGCCTGTCCCAGGTCCCCCTGCAGTGTTTATCCTCACCGTGATGCGCTGTTTGTTTTCCTGGCTTTCTCTCTCCTCTTCAAGGGCACGGACTGTGTCCGATTCATGATTCATCCTCAGGTCTGGTGCTTAAGGCGCGGGGCTGAGACAGTGGATTAAGGTTTGCCGATTGAGTGAACGGAAGCCTCCAGCTGCGTGGGCTGCGTTACAGGGGAGCAGGACTGTTCTCGGTCACCCAGAAAGGCAGGGGGCTGGGCCCCAGGTCAGGCCCAGCTGCAGGGAGGAGACAGCAAACGCTGCCCATCACTCTGAAAGCAAAGGGGGGTTTCAGGGTGGTACTCTGTGTAGGGGGCTCCGGACTGGGGTCCCACTATGGAGGACAGGGCTAGGTTGCTCTCTGGGCAGAGAGGGGGGTCTCAGTGGATCGATATAACAGAGGAACCCAGGGAAGAAAGGGTTTCATCTTGTTCCTCTTCATCTTGGGGGTCTGCTCAGAATCAGGGTACATGCTCTGCCAGGGGAAGGGGGCACCCCAGTTCCCACCTCTGGGGTGCTTGGGGTTGCCCCCTCCCTCCAGCTTTCCCCCCTAAAACCCACCTGGAGAACCCCATGCCCTGCTCCATGTCCCTCCACCCCCAAAAGCACCCCCACTGTCAAGCAGCAGGGAGGGGGCCCAGGTCTGTGTCAGTCATGTGATCAATGCAGAGTAACCTCCCCGGAAACATTCGTAAGTTTAATCCACGCCAGTAATAAAATCGCATTACATTTCTCATAAAATAAATGTTCCCATTTATATACAGAAGACAGACTGTACAGGCCCAGCCTGGCCCCAGGAGGGTCACACACAGACGGGCAACGGCGGAGGGAGGGCCGTCCTTCCCGTGGAGGACGGAGGAGTTCTAATCGGCGGGAGAGCGGTTGGCCGGCCGGGCGGTGGGCAGGCGGGCAGACGGACAGATGGGCCGGAGGCCAGGCGCCGGGCATTACTGAACCTGCGAGTCAAAGGTGCCATTGAGCTGCCCCTCCTCATAGTCCATCTGACACAAGATCATGTTGTTCTTCAGGAAGAATTTGTCTCCCACACAAAATCTGGAAAATCCAAGCAGGAGAGACAGGTCATGGAAGGGTCCCAGAGGGCAGCGGGGGCCCCCAGACAGAACTCAGGAGGGCTCTGGCCCCAGAGAACCCAGCTCGGCTGGAGTGGACCATGGGACATGAGGTCCTGGGGGGCTTGCTCCTTGAACTTTCCAGAGGGCACACCCTAAAGTCCGTGGGTTAGCCCGGCCCTCCGCCACGCCCTGCAGCCTGGGGGGTGGGACAGGCAGACAAGCCTGGGCCACAGGCCTTCCAGTCAGATCCCCCATGGAGGGCTGGGGTGAGTGGGAAGGGATGGGAATAAGCTACCCCTGTCCCAGAGAGGGAGAAAGAGAGAGGAGAACAAAGAAACAGGAAAAGACCCAGAGAGGTCAGAGGTAGAGATGGGAAGAAAAGGGGTAAAATGGTTAATTTTCCCACCCCTCTGCAACTTCCCCAATTTAAGAGGATGGTCAGTGAAAGGCATCCTCTCTAAACAGAACCTGTGGGTTTCCTGGAGCATCTGTTCAGGAGGAGGGGACCCTGTTCCACCATCTGCCTCCTACCAAGGAGGGCTCTGCCTTTCCCTCTCTTCATCCAGTCTTCCTTAAGTCCTGGAGGATTCAGCCCTTCCCTCAAAGATGTCCCCAAGGTGGCTGAGCTGTCAGTGGGACCCCAGGGTCCCAGCAGATCCCAGTCTAACCACCAGGTGGCGCTGCAATGTCACCGAGCCCTCCTAGCAGTAGGTCTGGCAGAGCCCCAGCCAGGCCAGTGTTCCCTGCAGGTCCCTCAGGACCTAGTCCTCTGGGAACGTGCTCCTTCCTGTCTAGGGGCTCCTGAGAAAGGGGCCTCCTTCAGAGCCCCCCAGCCAGGAGGGCGCTAGCCCCATAGGTCCCTGAGGTCTCCCACAGGGCTGGGGCGAAAAGACCAGAGAGGAGGCCGGGAGGGAAGCAGAATCACAGAAGAGGAGTCAGCAAGGAGGGGCTGTTCCCTGTAGAGATTTCGCCCTCTGGGCCTGGGAACCCCTTCTCACTAGAACATACATGCACATGGCACACACTAAGGGCACAGGGCATGTGTACAGAACCCTTGTATATCCACATTTAAAACGGGTCTTTTCCTGCACATGCCTACTCATCACGCACAGAGTACACACATACCCCCATTTGATTATGGACGCCTAGAAACATGCATATGCCCACATGGACATGTATATTTAAATGTATATTACTGTGCATATACAGTAAGCCCACACATGCTCCCATCCACTACGGTCACACAGACAGAACAAAGAAACAGGAAAAGACCCCGAGAGGACAGAGGTAGAGATGGAAAGGAGAGAGGGGTATGCACACACACTGCATGCGCACACAGTGTGGGAACGCACACATTTCACTTCAGGGCTTAGGCATATATAAAACACACATACGTACACACATACTAGGACTCAGCACAGCGTGCACATGCAGCCACATGCACACATGGGACCCACATCTGCATGCAGGCCTCCACAGCTTCTGGTCTGTTCTGGCGGGAGTCACCTGGGGTCTAGTGAGTCTGTTGGACTTTCTACCCGTCTAGCACTCACCTCTGGTTGCAGAGCTGGCAGGCGAAGCAGTCGAGGTGATACACATTGTCCCGGGCCCGCATTACCATCTCGAAGGCTGGGATCAGCTTGCTGCAGGCAGCGCAGTTTCCCGTGGTGCCGAACAGCCTGCAGAGGGAAGGGTGCAGGTGCTCAGGAGCCGGCCAGGGAGCTCAGGAGAGGGTGGCAGGGCAATTGCCTCCACCCATGCCCCCCCCAACCCCGTCTCCAGAACTTTTACTAACAGATGAGGTTTCAGAGAAACTGGCACATCAACTGAGGGATGGAGGTGTAGGGGCTCAAGGGTCAGCTAACACTGCCCATCCCTGGGCTGGGCTGGCAAGGCCTCCTCCCAGGTTCCCACTGGGGTCCCTCAAGCCCCTGGTGTCACCAGAATACTGGGCTGGACCCTGAGCAGGACTTTAGATTCACACAAGCCAGGAATTAGAGGTAGCTGGCCAATCACAGGCTGTGTGTCCTCAGGCAGGACACCCAGTCTCTCTGAGCCTCATTTATTTCAACTGTACAATAGGGACTGAAATACAACCCTCACAGGCTTGTTGTGAAAACTTTTGCAAATGCTCAGTTGCAACTCATGTAGTGAACACCTATATAGTGTTTACTATGTGCCAGGCACTGTCCTAAGGGCTTTACAAAGATCAACCCATTTAACCTTGACAACAACCCTTCGAGGGGGTCTTTTTCAGCTACCAACTCAACTATGTGACTTGCCTGAGCCCCTTTCCCTTTCCCTGGACCTCAGTCCATCCCTCTTTAAAAGGGGATGATGGACTAGATGATCCTGTTCAAAAATGTCTATCCTACAACAGGGTAGACGTGAAAAGGAAGCTCTGAGGACCTGTGGCACAATGCCACTTTGAGGCAGACAACCCTTCTCGTAGCTGCTGCCTGCCAAGTTCCAGGGACAGGGAGCTCACAGCCTCCACGCAGGCTAATCCCCGACTGGATGTTTCAATGGTCTGAGCCAGCCAGGCTTCTCTTAGCTTCTTCCCTGCACACTGGCAGAGAAAGCCCCACGTGAGGCAAGGGGCTGAGAGGCAGGCAGGAGGCCCCTCTAATCCCTGATTTGTCCAGCTCAAGCTCAGGCGTCTGCAGACGAGCTTGGCTCCATTATTCATCAGTCCGAGCTGCGTGGTGGCTCAGATTAAGGCAGACAAAGGCTGGGCCACAGCATCTGCCTGCCACGAGGGGCCATTCTTGCCACCAGTCCAAAAGGCTGCAGAGGGGGCAGGCTCTGGAGAGCCATTTTTCCGGGGCTGAAAAGCTCAAGGAAAGCTGCACCCCAACTCTGTCCCACTGGCCTACCTGGCCCCACAGTCATTCCTTGGCCTCTGCCAGCACCCAGGAAAACACGTCCAGGCTCCAGGAGCTGGCAGGGCCCAGAATGCTTGTGGGTGCTTCAGCTCTCTGACAAGCCCAACCTGCCCTGTGGCCCATCCTCTCCAGGTTCCGTGGACTCATCGGATGGTCTGTCATCTCCTCTCAACCAGGTGATGTCCTAAACCTCCAGAGTTGGACACTGTATCCAGGTCCTTGGGGGGTGAGTCCCAGGAGCATCCCTTCCTTCACCTCTCCTCCCGGCCTCAGCCTCTCTCTTCCAGCCCCGCCAGGCACTGAGTCACAGGTCCTGGTTTATTGCATCACTTAAAAAACCAACAAACAGCAACAAACTCCTGCAAAAGGCAGAAGTTAAAAGGGAAGGTACAAGCAGGTAAATCTTAGGTTCTTTGGGGAAGCAGGAAGCCTCCGCTAATATGCCTACCCCTCACCACGTCCATACCTGAGCAGAGGGAGCCCCAAGAATCCCTTGCCCCGACCTATTAATTAATGAGATGGGCCTTTCTTCCCCATAAGGCCCCACCACCACCCCAGAGCCTGTGTGAGAGCCAAATGCAGATGCTGGGTCTCCGCCAAGGCCCTGCTCTGTGGCCTCCTTCCAGCCTTGCTGATGTCATAGACGGCCTAAGGGAGGGTTAATTGGGGGAGGCAGTCCCAGGGAATAAGATGCAGGCTGTCGGGGAGGGGGAGTTAGAGCTCAGATGAATGCAAAGCGGGAAGTTATCCTTTTCACCACTTCACAGAGGGGTAGACTGAGGCTCAGAGCTAGTTCAAACCCAGGTCTTTCAGCTTTGACATCAGCAGTCCTCCCAGGGCCTGGCTGTCTGCCAGGCTCCCCAGGCATCCGGGCGTCTAATCCCAGGGCCCTTCTGGAAAAGTGGGGAAAGCTGGGCCCTGGGGAGAGGTGGGAAGGAGGCCCCAGGACCTTCAGAGCTTTCCCACCTGCTCCTGGGAGCCCCTCTGAGGCAGCCCCTCCAGGATCCAGGGACAGGGGGTCAGAAGCACCTGACAAAGGCAGGGCAGGGACAGGTTGGTACCCACGGGAAGCTCAGCTCAGGTGCCTGTGGTTACAGATGCCTGCCCGGAACCTGTGCTGGCCACTGAGTCCCAGGAGTTAAAGGCGTGGCCCTGCCATGGGGGCTCCACGGGCAGGTGGGGGGCAGGGCAGGGGCAGGACAGTCCGGGCTGAGCACACACTCAGGCTGTGCACTCTGGGTGCTGGGTCCACAGCCGGGGGCTCTCTGAGCAGAAGGGCCAGGCGGTGGGAGGCGGCCCACCTCAGATAGTCTCGGCGGCACAGGATGAGGTTGGCCTTGGTGTAGAGGGTGGAGCCCACCTCGCCCAGGCGGCAGTCGCAGCAGGCGCACTTGAGGCAGTCCTCGTGCCAGTACTTGTCCAGAGCCTTCAACAGGTAGCGGTCCTTGATCTTGCGGTTGCAGCCGGCGCAGCCCTTCTGCTTCCCTTTGGGCTGGACGGACAGCATCGGCACGCCTGCGAACGGACAGACAAGAGACAGATGGACACGGGTGGGCCCTGCGGCTCTGTGCCCTCTGAGAATGGGAGCCGCTGCTTCTCTCTGCTGTGCCCCTCCAGGATGGGGTTCCCAGGAGCCCTTGCTTTCTCCCCGGCAACCTCCTCCCTGGCCTCGGGTCCTGTCCTTTGGGCTGCATGGCACAGTCTGTTCCCCTCCCCTGTGAAGGTCTGTCCGGAAGCTCCAGGCAGCACTGGGGAGCCCACATCTGCTCTGCCGCAGGGCACACACATGGCCCGAGGCCTGGCCCTGATTGTTCCGCCCCATGCAACCGCTGCCCCCTCTGCAGCCCGAGCTACAGGAGGCCCGAAGCCCCCCTCATGCAGCCACCATCCCATTGGCTCTTCCTGCAGCCCCAAGGATGGAACCTCATAAAGAGCATGGGGTCCACTACAACCCCCAGTTCTTCCTGCCATCTCGAGACTCCCTCACACAGCTTGTGCGTTTATCCGTTTTAACCCCCAAAGTCACGCTACAGCCTCTTGGCTTATTTATGCAGAGCCACGGAGGCGTCAAGAATATAAGATGCCCTGTGACAGTCCCAGGGGGGAGCAGGACTCTGGAGCTCACATAGGTGTGTGCAGGAAGCTCTCCTTGGCAATGCTTGCAGTTAGTCAGACTTCCTCTCTGCCCTGGCCCGAGGGAGGGGCGGCTCCCAGCCTTTGGATCCCTGCTCTTCCCACTAGGATAAGCATCTCGGAGCCACTGGCCCCCTCCCAGGGCCCACCAAGCTTCTCAACGTACAAGAAAAGGCCAAGTACGAGGGGCTGGGATCTAAGCCTGGCATTCACCAGAGGACGGTGATGCACGGCAGGCAGGTGTGTGCATCACTCACACCCCGTGCACGCGGGCACAAGGAGTGACCACAGGGAGGGACCGCCGAGGAGATGGGGACAGATGTCAGGTGTCATCCGGGAGCTTGGACATCCACGTGGAGCCCTGAGGCTTGAGTTGGTGCAGACCAGGCTTGGTGGGGAGAGCAGGGAGTCTCAGAGCTCCCACCTGGGGGGAGTGGAGGTGCCTGTGAGCACTCGTGAAGGTGGTGGGAGTGGGGTGTTCCCTCCCTGACCAGGCTCGGGTGGGTGGAGGGGTTGACTCTGGAGAGAACAGCCCCAGCTTTCTTGCCTTCCTGGCTCTCCCACCAGCTCCTGCCCTCTGCCCTCTGCTCTTGGCCCCATCCTCGCCCTGCATTCTCCAGGACTTTGGGTTCAAATCCTATCACCTGGCACCACCCCCCCCACACACACACACACTCACTACCCCCAGTCCATTGTCTGAGCTCAGTGATGGCGAACCTTTTGAGCTCGGCGTGTCAGCATTTTGAAAAACCCTAACTTAACTCTGGTGCCGTGTCACATATAGAAATTTTTTTTTTGTATTTGAAACCATAGTAAAACAAAGACTTATATTTTTGATATTTGTTTTATATATTTAAATGCCATTTAACAAAGAAAAATCAACCAAAAAAAAAAAAAGAGTTCGTGTGTCACCTCTGACACGCGTGTCATAGGTTCACCATCACTGTCTGAGCTGCTTCCTTGGTGTGACCCTTCCTCAAGCTTCTGAGGAGAACCACAAGGGGCCTCAGTCTCAGATCCGCAGGGAGGCGGTCTGATGGGCCTTCGGAGTGATTCTGAGCAAATGGTCTCCTTCTATAGATGAGGAAACTGAGGCTCAGGCAGCCCCAGGGGCTCGCGTAGGGCACCAGTTAAGCTGGCGCCTGGGGGCCCTACCCTCCTCCCGTGCTCTCTCAGCCTCATTGCCTCCTCAGACTCCTTTCTGAGAGGGGGTGGCCCTTGGGCCAAGGGGCAGCAGGCCAGGTGAGGGCAGGGAGGCGGTGTCACAGGCTGCTGTGGGCTCTCTCCGCCCGCCCTCCTCCAGTCCTCGCAGGGCTGTTGTTGCTGGGAAGTTCGCTGCCTGATTTCCTCAGTGCAGCTCTAAAGGTTAATTGGTCTGAGAGAGTGATGGGGCTCAGGACAACTCTGTCCCCGGCCTGCCTGCGTCTCTTCTGAGAGGGTTCAGCCCGGTCACAGCTCTGAGGAGCCCTGGAGGCCAGCTGGGGACCAGGCACCCCTGAGAACTAAGGCGGGCGGGAAGGGCTTCTTTCAAGACCTGGCCCACATACAGGGAGGAACCAGGTGTGGCCGAGTGGGGGAGGGGTTAAGATGTGGGAAGGTTTGGGGGGTTTCTGGTGGGATGATTTCTCTCCAGGGCTTGTAGAGGGAGCACCCAGCCAGCATAGCCACCAACTTGGAAAATCTCAGGCCAGGCCTCTAGGATAGACGCTGAGGCCGATCTCCCCTTGCTTCCCTGACCCCTCCCCAGTAGCCAGAGCTCTTCAGCTGTGCTCTCACTGGCAAGGGGTAGGAGTGGGTGAGGCCTGGTATATCCACCCATCTCCCGCGATGCACCTGGCCCACTAAGTTATACCCCAAAATGATGGGGGATCTCAGCACTAGGAGCATCTGCCCTCTCCATCTCCCTCTGGCTTGGATCCTGGGCAGAATGCCTGGCCACTGAGCCACAGGGCTATAAACTATCGCACTAGCTGGCAATTCCATCACCAGAGTAGGCTGGTACCTAGCGGACCCAGGGAGGCCAGGAGAAACAAGCTTGCCCAGGTCCCCCACCTCCTACCTGTGCCCAGGCTGGGCCTGGCACACGGCAGGTTCTTGGTAAGGCTTGGGCACCCTGCTCTAGGGTGCTGAACTCTGCTTCTTGGGCCTGAAGTCTTAAGAAGCCGTGTGGTTTCTGCCAGAAGTGCACTGAGACAGAACACCAGGGCCAGCCGGGTGGTGGAGGTCTCAGAACATCTGGGGGCCTTGAACTTTCTCTGCCTGGAAAGGCTGAGGTCCTGGGAGAAATCTGACTGGTCCCTCCCTTCTTTATGGAGCACCCACGCTGTGCTTTCTCTCCCTGGGTTAGTCCGCAAGACTTGAAAAAACTCCTGTAAAGGTAAGGAGGCTCTGAGGAGTTACCAATGGGTCCCTGCTCCCTAGAGGGTCCAGGCTCTCCCTGGGCACCCTGCCTCCCCAGCCCCCACCCAGCCTGTCAGCCGGCCCTGCAGACACCTCTCCCCCCTCCCTCCCCTGCCTGGCTCTGGGAGCTGAGCCTCGGGCCATGCACTTTCCATTAAGGAGATAGCATCCCTTAGCTGAAGTCCATTTGGGATCCATTTTAGTGTTATCTAAAAATCAAATCTACATGGTAATCCTTTTAATGTACTCCTGACTTTAGAAAAAAACAGGTTTGCGCTCCTTCAGGAAAGGTTTTAAAGCATTACCCAGTAATTACTACTCACCCATGAAAACACTGATCTTTTACAATGGGTGATGTGTGCGCCTGCCGCACACGCCCACACACGCTCAGACACACGCAAGGGACCTGGCCAAACAAACCAGTTCACTCAGCCCCCGTGCTCCCCTCAGACCTCAGGGTGTGGAGGGGACATCTGCGGGGAGATTGGCCAAACCCGTACCCTGTCTCCACCCTGGGCGGGCTGATGGGGTGAAGGAGGCAGCCTCCCAGTCTGACTCATCGAGCTGCCAGACACTTACCCTCAGCTCTTTAATCTGGGAAAAAGCCAGACAGTCCAGGTGATTGGAGGGACTGCCAGAGGTCATTCAGCTCCCCCGCCCCCCCTTCCCTCCAACCAGAAGAGCAGCCCTCCTCTTCGCATGGACTCCCCAGGTGGCCTGCCAACCAGGCCCAAGTCTGCAGCCATCCTGCTCACCAATCCCAGGCCAGCTGCCTTTGAGATCCGGCAAGTGGACTTCTCCAAACTGCCAAGCCCGTTGGCTCCTGATCCCACCAATGCCTCCAGCTCGGAATGGAGGCAGAACCTGGCTGTGGAGCACTCCTGCCCCTTCCTAGTGAGCTCCTCAAAGGCCTGTCCTCCTACCCAGAATGCCCACCCCACCCAGCCCCAGGTCACCCCGGGCCTGCCCTGTGGCTCCCCTGCCTGCACTCATTGTGGCCACCACTGGCAGCTCCACCTGGCATGTGCGGCCCCTTCCACAGCCCAGCATGTCCTGCGGGACACTGTTGATCTGCTCCCCGCAGAACCCTGGAAGAGCACCCCCTCCATCCTGCAAGTGGATCTTGTTTGCTTCTGTCCAGGGCCCTCACACTGCCACTGCTCCAGGAAGAAAGGCCTTGCCTGCCCACCCCACTCTGCCCCAAAGGGCGGAGGCAACAGAGGGGTTGAGGCAAAGAGCACAGGCCTTGAACTCGGAGCCCACTTTCCAGTCTGGGACGTGTCCTCAGCAGCTGGAGGGCCTGGAGCAAATCCCGTCACATTCCCGACTTGCATCTGTGACACGGGGGCAATGGTCTCCACACAGACTGTGGCGAGGGTAGAATGAGGTTGCGCACGGGAAGCCACAGCACAGAGCCCGGCGTTCAGAGGGGACGAACGGGAACCAACATGCACTCCAGGCCGACCGCCTTCCCCCTCTGCCACTCGGTTCCTTTTCTCTATAACTTTTTCTCTTGATATAATCGCAAGCTTTCAGAAAAGTTGCAAGAATAGAAAGAACTCCTGTATATCCTTCACCCAGATCCCCTAAATACGAACATCTTACCATATTTACTATCTATCTACCTACCTATCTATAATATTTTTCCTGACTCATTTGAGTTGTTTTAGAGATGAAGCCCCTATGCCCTTTAATACTTTGGTGTTATTTCCTAAAAGCAAGGGCATTCTCCCTCAAGAGCATAGTACGGTTATCAAAACCAGGACATTATCATGGACATAATACTGCTATCTAATCTATAGATCTCATTCCGATTTCACCAGTGATTCCAAATAATGTCTTTTATGGCAATAAAATTCTTAATCATGCATTGCCTTCAGTTGTCAAGTTGAGTCTACTTAGCTCTGGAAGAATTCCTAAGCCTTTGTGCTTCCAGACACAGACATTTTTGGAATACAGACTAGGTTTTTATGGAATATCTT